CGTATTTTACCTCAACATGAACTTTTCTTAAACCAACACAAAAGAAAGTCAGGGGTTTGATTCCATCTGTACAGGTATGTGCCAAAAGCAACAGACGTGGACTCATCATTCCCAGAAATGCTGTGAAGATAACGTCTTTCCTTTGAATGGCACTTTCAAACGTTAGGCGGGGTTGTATCAGGAACGGCCAGGATTCTTTTTGCACCAGTGACTACAAAACATGTAACCCTCTCAAAGCTCTCTTCATTTTCTCGAACCATTTCCTGGCTAACTGTAATTTGCGCAGTGTTCCAGTGCATAACTTGTCTCACCTCCCTGAGACATTTTTGAGTAATTACCAAAACACTGCCAACGCCTTTGACACGGCCGCACACCAACCACAGCCTCATTTACACAGGTGCAAGAAGTGGTCGCAGTGTCAAGCTGTAATTTTAGTAGTCGAATCTGCTTTGTTTACTGTTAGCGTGCAGTTAATTGCGTTTTTAGAAATTAACTGCTGCTTTGACTTATTTTAGCAACAAGTTACATTTAAACTACCAACATTCTATTTCTCTCAGTTATTTCCGGGATTCTATTTTTTTTTTTTAGCTTCTTTCCCACTGGTGAAAATACAACACGATTTTTTTAATCAATTGTATGGTTTGCCAGTTGTCTGAGACTTCTACATCCTACATCCGATGTACACTATCAAAGCAATATAACGCATCGTGAGAGGAGCAGTGTCTGTCCATCCGTTTTCATTGTGCGATAGTATTGAAGTAATCAAGCGCCGAAGTACTGTCTGAAACCGTTTCTCATTTAACCGATGAGTTCACCATATAGTGTGCTATGAGTGAGTGATTTCAGAAACAGCCCGTGTCTCTGAACCCAGGTTGTCTTATCAACCTTCCATACTGGTCTTTTTCCATTTCAACCTGCCTGCATTCTTTTTTACCCCTTTGTTTGCCAACATTTTTGCGCAATCCATTACTCTGGATGGCTGACCCTAGGAATTTATACTAATCCTGCATGTATTTGTCAATATTACTTTGCCCTATGCGCTTTGTCAATAGCTTAGAATAAAGTAGTAAAATATAATGAGACTTACAGTACAGTGAGTGTAGAATATAATATATATACAGTATGTGTGTAGTAAGGACGGTGCGAGGAGGGTTGGGGGTTCAAAGTTTAAAAAGACCATTCCTTCGAGCCGGATTTGAACCAGCGACCTAAGGATCACAGTTATACAACCTACAGTCCTCCGCTCTACCAACTGAGCTATCGAAGGCGGTGGCAAAGGTTATCAATCAAGATATGATGTTCTAAATATGTTTTTTCCATAACATGAACTGATTTTTGAAAAGCACTAAACTCGGAATGCCTTTCATTGCTTTACATGGAAAGGCATGAGCAATGGTCCATCTCTGTAATCTCCATAATATATCCTCCGTCTATCTCGCCTGATACTTAAATCCCATTATCTGTCTGACTTTTCTGTCATGCCGGTATCCTAATCTGTGTTTTCTGTACTGGGTTTAGCGGCCAACAGGCCCGGACAGAGTCAGTGCTGGCACTGCTGCTGCTGCTGCTGCTGCTGCTGCTGCTGCTCAACAAGCAAAAAAAAAAACCCCTCTAAACCCAGCCAACCTTGAAAAGACTGTGTGCTTGTTTAGTCTGTGTTTTTGATTGACTAAAAAAAGCTCCTACCATGGCTGTTAGACAGGAAACTGGTAATACGTTAACAGTAGCTACTTATTAACTAACAACTAGAATTGCGTCTAAAAAATGAGCAGTTCAAACTGCAGGCTGAAACTTAAGCGAAAGCTGCTACATGTTTACAATGAAATATAGCTAGAAGCTAACCCAGAAGTTAGCTGTTCAAGGAGAGAGCTCAACTGAGTAAGATGGTGAGTGCAACAGCAGCAAAAATAAAATAATATTAGCCTATAAAAAATAAAAACATTTATAAATCAGCAACATTAACACTAAGATGAGTGAAACAATTTCATTAGCATTTCTTGATTGGGATTTATTTAGTTTCTTCCTGCTCAGTGACAGCAGCAGCAGTTGTTTTGAATTCATCAGGATCCTTTCATGCTTCAGTATCCTGCTGTTCCTTCCTGAAAAAACAAACACAAGGGACAGAGTTTGAGACACAACATAACTCTAGACAACATGATAAATCGTTTATCTGTTAGTCAGTGTCTGAACAAGATGCTGGTGATGGAGGGGGATGTGGGTAAATCAGGGTTGTTGTTTTTTTGTTTTGTTTTTTTGTTTGTTTGTTTTTGAGGTTTATTCTTTAGAAATTGAAATTTATAATGACAACCGGCAAAAATAAAGGCTGATGTTTTGTTTTTCTTCTTCTTCATAACCATATCTTTTCAGAGGTGATACGGTATGTTTTGTTGGAATTTGTTAAAAAGCTGCAGGGGGTGGAACATGTTTACACGTTTTAGAGGAGGTATTGTTCAAACAGAAGTCAGAGGGAGACTGTGGGATCGTTCCTTTGTTTGGTCACATCCTCTACGGGAGGCGGATGGTCGGACACACATCCGGCAGTGTTGGAAAGATAACGTATCTGCCTCGACATGAGAGCCTGATTGGTCTCTATCACTAAGTTGATCTGAGTCTATCTCTGGATCTGGAAGTAGACTAGATAATTAACAGTTAACTAAGCGTAGTTTAGCCGCTGGTGACAGTTACTAAACCATAATTACGGCCTTTAGTCAGGGTTCTACCGATATCATGTTGGTCTTTGTCATAAAAAACATCTGTCCAATGTAGGGTTGATATGAGTCATTCGATTTGAGTTTCTGGATGATATTCTGGATACCAGATGTCAGCCACTGGTTACATGCCACAACTGATCAGTATGGAACCCATGCACCAATGAGTAATGGACCACCAATGGTAAACTTTTTATACAATTATCATGTGGCCAATAGATGACCAGTTTTGATTGTTTACACACGAACATTGAGGGCACTGGAAGAGGAATTTTTTTGCCCTGCGCAAAGTTCACCTATTTTTTGTTATCCATTAATAGTATTCCTATTATTGAAACACTTTCTCTTCTACTTCCAACTACATTCTGTTAAACATTTATTGGTTTAACTGAATAATCTGTAACCTACCTTAGATCTGTTCCTACCTTAGGTCTGATACCTATTGTTGATCTGTTGCGTACCTTTGATCTGTTGCCTACTTGAGATCCACTGCCTACCTTAGATCTGTTGCCTACCTTAGATCTGTTGCCTACCTTTGATCTGTTGCCTACTTTGGATCTGTTGTCTACCTTAGATCTGTTGCCTCCCTAGGATCTGTTGCCTACCTTAGGTCTGATACCTATTGTTGATCTGTAGCCTACCTTAGATCTGTTGCCTACCTTGTGTCTGTTACCTACCTTGGATCTGTTGCCTACCTTAGATCTGCTGCCTACCTTAGATCTGTTGCTTACCTTAGATCTGTTGCTTACCTTAGATCTGTTGCCTACCTTGTGTCTGTTACCTACCTTGGATCTGTTGCCTACCTTGGATCGGTTGTCTACCTGAGCTCTTTTGTCTTACATGGTCACCTTATTTCTCACTATTTTGTTTTTCATTTTTTGAATAACCTTTTTTAATAATCTCTAATGGTGTAACAATAAATGATAATCATATCATTATACTGTTGTTAAAGGCTCTAATTTCTCTGAAATGTACTCTTTCTTAATCCCTAAATTTCTGACTTTCAAAGGTAACTGCCCTCTGTTCTAGATACATTAACAGGGCGTGGTCATGATACGGACACACACTGTTCTGTCATTATGGAGCTAAAGGAACCACATTACACATTGACCTTCTAATTTATTGTCACAACACTGGGTTAGTTATTGTGCAATTATTGCCTCCCAAAAAATAACTTTTGATGAGACACCTTTTGACACCTTGACTTAAGGCGATGATGAAACTGTCCATTAACCCAAAGACATGTCTGACATACATTCCTTTCCAGATCCTCCCTTAAATGTTCAAGGGTGTGGTGTGTGTGAAGCAAGAACATCTGATGTGTCAAAGTGAAAAATGATGATGTTGTTGACACGTCATGTTGTTGGTGTTGTTGAAGTTTCACACACCAACGGTCTTCAAGGACTCCAGCTAGAGTTTCTTGAACTTTCTTTGGAAGAATCCCAACTAAAACAAAATCTGTCTTGATTTTATTGACCCACAAGCAGGCAATTTCAGATTTCTCTTGTCATTTTTTAAATGTAATGCTATGAAATATTCATAGAAAGAACACAAGAATAATGTAAAATGGAACTGGCACTTGGCAGTGATGTGAAATATACAAAATACATCCATATGCTGATGACTTTAATATATACAAATACAATAAATTAGCCAACCTAATAAATTTGGGTGATTTTAAAGGTATAATTCAATATAGTTGTTACAATCTGTTAATGTTTTTGATGCAAATTGACTATTAGTTAGTTAGTTAGTTAGTTAGTTAGTTAGTTAGTTAAAGAAAAAGAACTAAGAAAAGCCTGAAATACAGATGTATATGTAAACAGTTCCTAAACTTTACTTAAATTGACAATAAAACACAAACTATAAAAAAGAAAAATCTGGACCCAAGTAGTCAATAATATGGTTAAAAGTCTTTTTTTTTCTAAATTCTTTCATACTCAGTATTTAATCTGTCTGCACCCTGCAGTGTCATTTATTGTTTTATTTTCTCATAAAACAAAACTATTAAAAACCCTGCTAATAAAAAATAAATTGTTTTTTTTTCCGTCTTTAAGGACAGCTGTATATTCTTGAACGTTACAGTTTTATCTGTAAAAAAAACCCTCCCAGACCTCTGAATACTGCTGAGCCCTCAGAATTGACCAACTTTGGAGGCTGTGGAGCACAAAGGCTCGCTGTGAGCCATACTTTTGGTTTAAGCCAGTGGAAAAGAGGGAGGTGACTCCGGGGTGGGTGGGAGTGGTTGGGGGTGGAACCTGAGGGCCCTACAAGGTTTATATAGTAAACCAAACTCTCTCTCCTCCTGCCTTGTGTCTGTGAGCTTCAAATCCCAGCCTGTACCTCTGCTCGCTCGCTCTCTCTCACTCTCTACTCAAACCATGTCCATTCAGCAGACCTACTCCATGCGCACCTCCTCCTCCGGCAGCAGCAGGCCTGTTGGAGGAGGTTCCTTCACTCGTACCTCTGGTCCTGTCTACAGAGCCAACACCATCCATGGCATATCTGGGGGCAGCCGCATCAGTGTCTCCTCCGCCCGTGCTGGGCTCGGAGCAGGGATGCCCCTTGCTTCTGGAGTCTCAGGAGGCTTCTCCAGCAGCGTCCAGGTGAGTGGCAACAGCGCCGACATCATGGGCAACGAGAAGTTCGCCTTGCAAAACCTCAACGACCGCCTGGCCAACTACCTGGAGACGGTGAGAAACCTGGAGCAGGCCAACAACAAGCTGGAGCTGAAGATCAAGGAGGCACTGGAGAAGAGTGGACCAGACTTCAGGGACTACAGCAAGTACCAGGCCATCCTGGATGACCTGAGAAGGAAGGTGAGGAGACAACAGGGGGAAACAGAGGCAGGGTGGGGGCAAAGGGGCTGAGGTGACAGTGGGTGCTTTTGTAGGTGAAGAATGTTTAAAATCAAGAAGGTGGTGACCAGATCTAAGGTAAATTATGAGATGATGTAGGTGAAACTTCAATAGACTCTCAGTTCTTGTTAACTTTCTTACCCCTCAGAACCTCTCCTCACCCATTAATGTTACTACATGAGAAGATACCAGGTCTTGGTAGACAGAACCATCATATTTGAAGAAAGAGGATTGGGCGGGGGGTGAGGGGGTTGAGACGACCGGAAGCAATATGGAGGAGTAGGAATGTCGGAACGTCACGGGCCAGATGGAGACAGGAAAAAACTTTCAGACAAATAACGAGGGTCCGGGGGATTTTACAGCGCCATACGTTATGACTTTGTAAATATTTTTGTCAACACAATGTGTCATTTACTTAACAAGTGTCACGGAAAGTTCACCACTGCTGCAGTTGCTGATGCCGCTACACTGACGCCACTGAAGTTTCCATCTACAAACTACAAAAACTTTTTTTTTTACAATGTTTACAATGTCCTAAACCCTCTATAAGTAACGAAAGTGGGCAAAAATTTTTAAAAAAAAGTCAGGTTTTGCTTCATTTGCTGTTCCAGAAAGTAAAAGTGTCATTTTTACAAGACTATTGGTACAAATTATATTCTCACTGCACAAAGAACTGTAGGAATGCCAAAATGGTACTGTTTTACCAGGCATTAAAACCATTTTTACATGAAAACAAAACCTGTTTTAATTCAGTAAAGTGGCGTGACTCTCAGTCTAAGAGAACAAACTGCCATGTGAGCATGCAAATCCATTTTAATTCAGTAAAGTGGCGTGACTCTAAGAGAACAAACTGCCATGTGACCATGCAAATCCACACACACACACGAGTACGTCAACACACGCACGCACACTTATCCAACAGCCATGTATGCCGAACTTCCTCATGCAAATCACCTGCAGCCTTCATGTTGATGATGGCACAGATCAGGTTTCCATGGTACCAGCAAGGCCTTTGGCTGCCTGGCAGCTGCTGATTGGTTCTAAGAGTTTGTCGCTGCAACGTTTCCCCTGTCCGGATCGTTTGGCTGTTATCTACTCCACTTTCGACAAACACTGCAGCTGTCTGCTGGTTTAAACCAGTCGGCAACTGCTCAAACAGACCTAATTTGGGATTTCCAAATTATTTTCTTTAACTGTTCTTAATGTTTGTACAATTGTAGCAAAAGTGCTAAAAGATTAGCAAACTTGTTAAACATTAACAATAACACAGCAAACAGCTATATTTTATTTAGCATAACAGTAGCTAGAGATGATATGGGAGCTATTTGGTTCACTGGAGTTTTAAACATTTAAAGACTCGAATGCAAAGATGTTGTTTGTTCTCACATCAAAAAGCTACATGCTACAGGTGTTATTAAACGTCCTGGTATATTTACTTGTGCAAACACCACTAGTGACAACACGCCTAAGGTTAGAGCTAAAGCTAACTATCAGCCAACAATGAACAAACAGCATTGTGCACAACTTGTCAAATTACACAACCAACAGCTTAAAATTAAGCATACGGTCTTTGCTAACTTTCTTACTTGGCCTGAAGACATTTCCTCGTGCTAATTTTGGATACATCAAATGCAAACACTGCTTGTGACAGCCGGACTAATTATATTGCTATAAGCTAACACAAACATAAAACCACTTGAGTCACATATATAAAGGCTTACCACGCCTGGCTTACATTCCAAAAGGTAATCAGTTCGAACCCCAGAACAACCAATACTTAATGGTGCGTCCTGTGGCAGCGTGTGTGGGTTGCGAAGAATAACGTTGTGAATTTCCCCCTTGTTGGATAATGTTGATAAAGTTGTTTGATTGCTGCGTTCACTAAAAAAACATTAGCCTTTCCAGCCGTTGGCTAGTGTTTGCTCAGCTGTTCTTCACTTCATTTGCATTCTAAATGTGGTCCATCTTTTGTTCCCACTCCAGGTGTTTGATGCCACTACCGACAATGCCCGTCTGGTTCTCAACATCGACAATGCTCGCCTGGCAGCCGATGACTTCAGAGTCAAGTAAGAAAGAACTTAGCCCCCGCGGTGAAAACTGAAATTTTGAAATTTGAACCAATCATTGTGAGAATTCAGACATTCAGTCATTAACTTGACGCTCATGAATCCTCACCACATCCTCATCATCAATGCTGGGGTTTTCCTATTGTTGTATTATGAATGTCAAAGCAAACACAGATGGCTTTGTGTGTGGAGAGCCTGTTATCTCAACTGTGATCCTTTAAACATTCTGGACATTGATTAACGATGACATTGAGCTGCCAGGAACTGTTCCTCAGCATCTGATCTCCCCTCCACTCCGTTCAGGTACGAGTCGGAGCTGGCTATCCGCCAGTCGGTGGAGGCTGACATTGTGGGTCTGAGGAAGGTCATTGATGACACCAACATGAGCCGCATGAATCTGGAGAGTGAGATTGAAGCCCTCAAGGAGGAGCTGATCCATCTTAAGAAGAACCATGGAAATGTGAGAAACTTTAGAAGCTATAGAAAATTTCCCAATTTGGATTTCATAACTATGAGTCCTAAGGAATATTTGATTCTTTTAACGGGTACATTAGGGACATCCGGTTGTCCTGTATATCCATGGCAAAAAAAATTTGAGTGTTAGCTATGAGCTAATGCGCAGGTCTACATAACCAATCATTGACATTTCCTGTGTTTTAGCCTCTGGCTAGATTACATAACTGTTAGCTTGTTAGCTATATAAGCTATATAATCCTTATCCCGACAATATGATAATGAAAGTGTAGACCTAGCATGCAAAATTTTAGTAAGTTCTAAGGTACCATTCTAGAGTCAACATTGTTGCCTAACTTTGTTGCCAATTTTAGCTTTTTGCTTTGCTAGTAGTGACCGAAGACATTTGACATTTGTTCTAGAGTCAACATTGTTGCCTAACTTCATTGCCAATTTTTTGCTTTGCTAGCAGTGACCGAAGACATTTGACCTACAGCATGACACTTTCTGACATTGTCTGGAACTATTTAGGTCTAAAAAAACCCCAGTATGACTGTGAGAGCTTAAATAAGCCAATGTAAAGTTCACTAAAACCCTCCCTAATTTAATTTGGTCAGAGTTAGACTGTAATTAAAGACCATAATCCTCCTTTGAAGGTGTGGTTTGGTACCGCTTGATTGACAGTGTAATATTATGTTTTAGCACCACATATCCCCACAACTGTCATCACAGTGTTATCGAAGTGGTACCAAGCCAGAGAAGTGGTTTCCAAGGTGACGTCAGTTTTTTTCAAACATCTTCGCGCTGGTTGATCATAAGATAAAACACAAAAAATTGTTTAAACTTAGTGGAACAAAATGTCAAAACCGGTCCGAGCCTGAATGTATCTTAGGCTAATATTTGTTTTGTTTTTTTTTTGGTTTGATCATGAGCACATCCCAGTAAACCTTCCAAGCGTATCTACTATTTGTACAAAGAGTTTTCTATACACACTAATGCCACAATAGCAGAAAACACATTTTCTGACATTTAGGCATTTAAAAAAACAGAGGTTTGTTAAGAGATCTAACCTACGTGTTTGCTCGAGTGTGTGCGTGAGCAAATACAGTGTAACGCCTTCTTGTAAAAACTTCCTGTCCACAACTGGCCGCAGAGAAAACCATATGTGTTAAATTACTGTCATTTACTCTCATGAAGTAGAAAAAAATGCAGCTTGTTTGTTTACTGTAGGGTTGCGTTAAATTAAGTATCCTCGCCCCACCGCCACCGCCACCGCCACCCAAACCACGCCCTGTCTATTTACCTGAACATCATCATGTCATTTCACTTGGAAGAGGACATGAAGTCACAGCGAGGTCACAGTTCTGGTGCTGAAAGAAAAGCTTGGCTAATGCAACCCAGATGATGAGCTACGACTTTAGGACGTAGCTTTTTGTGTTTTCAGGTTCAGGAGAAGTTGTGATGATGCGCAAACATAGTTTTGTTTAGTCTGATGGCTAAAAATGTTTTGAATTTTTCCACAAAACTAAACTTCCTTTGTTTTTCTGTCCCTTTTTTCAGGACGTAATGGAACTCCGTAACCAGATTGCTCAGTCTGGAGTCCATGTGGACGTTGACGCTCCAAAAGGACAGGACCTGGCACAGATCATGGCAGAAATTAGGGCCAAATACGAGAAGATGGCACTTCAGAACCAGGAGGAGCTGAAAACATGGCATGAAGCACAGGTATTCATCATTTCTGACACAAAGATGAAGCGATTTTCTTTACCTGGATAGATAGATAGATAGATGGATGGATGGATGGATGGATGGATGGATAGATAGATAGATAGATAGATAGATGGACGGACGGACGGACGGAAAGATAAGATTTTACAATTTTTAGTGATTCAGGTTTTTTGATACCTGTCCTGATTTTAAACCGTAGTAATAATTTTTCAGATGACGGAAGTGCAGACCCAGGTGACCATGAACACAGAGGCTCTGAAGGGCGCTCAGACCGAGGTGAACGAGCTACGAAGACAGATCCAGACCTTGGAGATAGAGCTGGAGTCCCAGAAGAGCCTGGTGAGAAAAAACACAGCAGCGTTCTGTTCGGCTGAACACACACACACACACACACACACACATCAGTTGGCGTGTCCTAATACAGTCTGCCATGGTCCTGACTCAGCACTCTCATTTCAACTCTCCCTTATTAACAGTGTTGACACAGGCTTCACACTCCAGTGACCAGTCTCTGCTGGATTACTGTAAAAATTTAACCCGCTCCGGCTCTGAAATGGAAACATGCATTGAACTGACCAGGATCAGAAAGTAGCAGGAGCTCAAAGCAAAATTAGAAAAAAACCATCTAAATAAAATTGAAATCATCACAAAAATAAATGAGAAACCTAAACAGTTCAATAAACGAAAAGAACTGTTATGACTGAATGAGTTATGACAACCTTCAAGTTGCTAATGCTAATTTGCTTTATATTTTGTACCTAATATAAATATTGTTCCTTCTATTACAAAAACCTGTTCTGATTTGTTTTCTGACAGAAAGCATCTCTGGAGGGCACACTGAGGGACACAGAGATGCGTTACAACATGGAGATGGAGTCGCTAAACAACATCATTATGAGCCTGGAGGCGGAGCTTACGCAGCTGCGTAACAACATCCAGCAGCAGACACAGGATTATGAGCAGCTGCTCAACATGAAGATGAAGCTTGAGGCTGAGATCGCCACCTACAGGAGGCTGCTGGACGGCGGAGACTTCAAGTGAGTACAATAATAGATTGCCAAATGCGGTTTAGCCAATGCTAAAAAGCCAAAGGTAAACCAAAAGATAGCTATAAAGTTAGCCTGGAGTTAGCTAAAAGTTAGCCTAAAGACTGTTACAAGACTTTGACAAGTAATGTCATTTTGCGGTTTTAGGCTCATGGATGCTCTGGAGGACCAGAAGTCCGTCAAGACTAAAGTGATGACGGTCACACAGACCATGGTGGACGGGAAGGTGGTGTCTTCCAGCACAGAGACCAAGACTCTGTAAAGACGAGCAGACACAGCTACATCACAACTCTCCAAATTTATCATCATTTAACAATACTCACATCTGATTGGCCAAACCCCCCTTTTTTGTAGTCAATTGTCACTAAAAAACATTAGCCTACTTTCGTTTTAGGCAGCTCCTTAACAGAACAGCAACTGGATCAGAAAGAAACTAAAACATCATCTTTATTTATTTCATCATCATGTTATTTATGTCTTCATTCATTGACGGATAGACGTTAGGACTCAGGATTAGAGAGATGTCAGCTGCACCACAGACAAGTACTTTTACTAAAACAGAGTATACTTTAAAAAAAAAACAGAGAGAAGAAGAAGAAGAAGAAAAGAGTCCAGTTACAAGCAAAGTAGTTTTTTCTTTTTGTTGTTATCAAATTGTTTCTGTCACCTGTGGTTTTCTTTTCTGACCAGTTTAAGTCTCTCCTGCTGGCTGTGATCTTCAAGCATGTCAATAAAGGTCTGTTTCATCGTTTTCCCCATGTGTGACCACGGCGGTTTATTTAACCATGAAACTGGACTGAAACAGAGCAAATATTATTGAAATCTTTAAATTTACATGTGAAATTGGGTGTGATTATACTAAAAATAATAACTTATAATAAATAATAATAAATAATAAGTTATATAAATAAAATAATATAATAATAAAATTAACATCATACTGTAATTACATCTATATATATATATATATATATATAAGCAATATCCTAGTTTTCCGGAAGATGTTTTTACTTAAACTAGAGGTTCAATAAAATTAATAAAAATTAAAATTAAAAAATAGTCATCGATCACTAAAACTTGACACAAGAATTACTAAATATTCAAAATATATAATTTTATGCCACGTTTAAACTCATGAAAGCCCTAAAAAAAAGATGAAAGTTGATGGCTGTAAAATGTGTCATCCTCTACTACTAAGAGCGATAGTAATAAATATTGTCATAATGTCCTCACCTTTTCACCCTAGTCAACAATGTTTTATTAGTCCTGCTCCTCCACCAGATAAGACCACAGCTACACTAGACTGTTGACATAAGGCAGGAGGGATTTACTCAACCGTTTGTTCATATACTATTTTTTTTCCTCTTTGTTTTGTTAAGATGAGTACAAATTTTGAAAATATCTAAGATCCAGCATGACATTTAAGACTTCCCAATGAGAGCCTGGAAGTCTAAAAAAATACATAAATATATTGGACAAATGTTATAACAGAAAATACTTAGTTAACTTAGATATAACAAATATTTCCCTAAAATGTGACGTAAAATGGCTATGAATTAGCCAGAAAAGAACTAATACTCAACTCAAATATACATAGGTTAGCCAAACGTATCCAAAATAGCCCAAGTTAACCAAAGGGTAAATTAGAGGTACCCCAAAACTGAAAACTTTTCTACACCAAAAAACCACATACTCATTAAGAAGACGTGTGAACTGGTGACTTGGTCGTTAAAGAAGCGAACTTGGGTCCGGAAGGTTTCAGGTTCGAGTCAGGTCCACTGAGCATGGCGCCGTCCCCTGCTCACTTTGGTGATTGGGTTAAAAGCAGAGGTCATATTTCGTTGTGAGGTGTGCTGTTTCACAATGACAAGTAGTTCACTTTCACTTTCAAAATAAAAATCAGTTTGGCAGTGACATTGTTTTCTGTGGTTGGAGAAGAAAGGAAAGCTCATATAAACCGAAGGACAGCATCTAGAGTGAAGCACAGTAGCGGAATTGTTCGAGAGTCATCGTGAGATCTTTGAGGTTTTGTGAGATATTCTTCTCTATATGCGATAATAAAAGAAGAAAGCCATTTTAAAGCCCACGCCCAGAACTGTCATCATAAAAATTCCTAGCTCTGAATGAAAAGCCTTCAGATAGAACTCCCTCAGAACCACTAAAGCTATTTTTTACCATAAACCTGCCAAAATGTTACACAATGGACAACGGCTTACATCCCTGGAATCGGAAATCACCATTCTTTACTGCACATAATCTATATGGAAGTGTCAGTGCACACCTTTTGTTGAACCTTCGACAATGGGTGGGGCAGGGACAAAGTCTGAGGTTGTAGGCTAAAGGTAAAAATGTCATATAGATAGCAGGGGAGTGGCAGAGGGAGCTGTTCCTTATCCGAGGGATATATAAGATCCTGGAACTGTTGGCCGTCACTCTTCCACTCTCACCTGTCTCAACTCCTCTTGGCTTCTTCCTCACCTTGGTTGTTCGCATAATGGAGCCTCTGATGAGACGCCAGAGTTCCAGTTCTGGGATCTTCCACATGACGCCCATGCAGGGACACTATGCCCACAGTGTGAGCGGAGGAGCAGGAGGCCATGGCACCAGGATCTCCACCTCCACCTTCGGCCACAGGGTCGGCAGTGGCATCGGCGGAGGCTTCAGCCAACATTCTTCTTTCAAGACCCCCGGAAACCTGGCCATTGGCAATGAGAAGCAGACCATGCAACACCTGAACGACCGACTGGCCAGCTACTTGGAGACAGTGAGGAGCCTGGAGAAGGCCAACAGCAAACTGGAGATCAAGATCAGGGAGGCCATCGAGAAGAAAGGACCCCTGGAGGGCAAGGACTTCAGCAAGTACAATGCCATTATCGCAGACCTGAGGGCCAAGGTGAGTCCACGAATAAGGTCACCGTCTGTGGGGGCGGCGGGGGGGGGTATCACACTCGGGGCACACGGGACACCGGGCCACACCCACACAGGGCA